AACAGGATTATGTTTGATTTTATTAGATTTATTTATTTTTATATTTTTTTAACTTCAATGTATAAATCATTAAATATTATTTTATTGTGTAAATGTTAAATGGTATTTATGGTATTAAATTATTTAGTATTATTTATTATTACTTTTGTTGCTGTTGCTGTTAAACATATTTTAACTTGACATTTTATTTATAAAGAAGAATAATTGTTGAAATTATTATTAGTTGTTATTATTGAATTATTTTTCCCTTTATTTATTTACTTTATTTTATTATGGCTATTTATTTATTTATTTATCATTCATTCATTTTCTTTTCGACTTAGTCCCTTTATTAATCAGGGGTCGCCACAGCAGAATGAACTGCCAACTTATTCAGCATATGTTTTACGCAGCTGATGCCCTTCCAGCAACAACCCAACACTGGGAAACTTATTCAGTTATTTATTTAATTTTGTTAAAACCAAGTGCTATTGTAATTAATTGTAAATCAAACATTAATTTGTCTTTGTTTTTATCTTAATTTTTTAAAAGTATATATATTATATTGATACTATAGTAATAGATATTTGAAAATAAAATAAATCTAAATTAAAATAGCAATAAATATAAATATAATTATAACAATAAAACCATTTTTTGATTAATTCATAAACAATACATAAATATGTCATGATAAATGCCAATCAAATGCAAAAGGAAATCACTTTGATTTCATTTGATTTCTTTTGTTACATTTTATAGGTTTTACATGCACTGTATTTCAGTTTTTAGATTAGCATTAAGCCCCTGGTATGCTTACTACAGTATGCATGTATTATGTTAATATATATGGTTAAAGTCAGAATTAATGATGTCCCAAATGATGTTTAACAGAGCCAGGAAATTTTCAGTTTGTCTGATAATATTTTTTCTTCTGGAGAAAGTCTTGTTTATTTTATTTTGGCTAGAAAAAAAGCAGTTATAAATTTTTTAAACATCATTGTAAGCACAAAATTATTAGCCATTTTAAGCTATACATTTTTCTGATAGTCTACAGAACAAACCATCATTGTACAATAACTTACCTAATTACCCTAATCTGCTTAATTAACCTAATTAACCTAGTTAAGCCTTTAAATGGTCCTTTAAGCTGAATACTATAGTATCTTGAAAAATATCTAGTGAAATGTTATTTACTCCCATCATGGCAAAGACAAAAAAATAAATAAATCAGTTATTAGAGATGAGTTCTTAAAACTATTATGTTTAGAAACATGTTGAAAAAAATCTCTCCGTTAAACAGAAATTGGGGGGAAAAAATAAACAGGGGGGCAAATAATTCAGGGGGGCTAATAATTCTGACTTCAACTGTAAAATAGTAAATATAGGAATATTTAAATGTAAATGTATAAAAAATAAAATAAATATAAAATAGCAATAAACATAAATAATACTTCAATAACAAAAAACAACACAGACTTTTTTGTGCATTGTTTACAGCTAAGCAGTATGAAATTGCTTTTCTTATTTATATTCAGAATATTGTATAGCAACATGAAAGTGAGTGTCCTTTAGATATGTTTTTTTTTGTTGTTGTTTTATATATTGTTTATATATTGTTGTGTTGTTAATATATTTTAACTTGCCATTTTATTTATTCAGCAGATTATTTATTAAAATATTTTTTAATTAAATTGATTCATTTTTATTTGTCAAAACCAAGTGCTCTTGTAATTGATGGTAAAGCAAACAATAATTGTTTTTATCTTATTTTTCTCCTGACCAAAATGAGTTTCAAACCATGACTTTTGTGATCCGTTTACAGCTAGGAAAAATTAAAAGGTACTGGTACAAATAATATATACATTTAAATAATAAATAGTATATATTTAACTGTATATGAAAATAAAGCTTAAATAAAAATAGCAATACAAATAATACTTCCATAACAATAAAATCATTTTCCAAAATCTGATCAAAAATCTTTTTACCAAAATATTACATAAATATGGGTGAAACAGTGGCGCAGTAGTGCTGTTGCCTCACAGCAAGAAGGTCACTGGGTCTCTGGTTCAGTCCACGGCTCAGGAGTTTGCATGTTCTCCCTGCGTTCGTGTGGGTTTCCTCCAGGTGCTCTGGTTTCCCCCACAGTCCAAAGACATGCGGTACAGGTAAATTTGAGTAGGCTCAATTGTCCGTAATGTAAGTGAATGTGAATGAATGTGTTTCCCAGAGATGGGTTGTGGCTGGAAGGGCATCCACTGAGTAAAAATGTGCTGGATAAGTTGGTGGTTCATTCCGCTGTGGCGACCCCGGATTAATAAAGGGACTAAGCCGACAAGAAAATGAATGCATGAATTACATAAATATGTCCTAAATCATATCAAATGCATCAACAATTTCCTCAACGTCCGCTTTACAATCACCAGCAAATAATCGTGTGATCATCTTAAGATAATTCTGCTAATCAGAATGAGACAGAAGTACGGTCTCATTAGTCCTTTGAGCTCCGGCAATTTGCAGCTGCATTCGCTCATCTTCCAAATATCACCCAGCAGCTGCAGACTACAGTGGGTGACCTTTCCCCCTTTCTGCAAAACCCCAGAGCATCACCATTCTGACATTTCCAGCGTTCGAGAGGACGGAGGCGTTCATGCTGTCTTATTCCAACAGAGGCCTTTGTGATATTTAGACAGGGAATGAGAACGCCTTGATCTCTGACAGATGAATGTGAGGACAGGGACCATTAAAGGTTTTAATACACTGCTATGACCTGCTTAATTAAATCCATGTCTGTCAGAAAGCCATGCTCTGTGTGCAACTTAGACACGAGTGTTTCTTTCTTTATTTTATTAATCGCTTTCAAGGTGGTTTTGGAGTATTTTAGGGCTATCTTGAGATTTATACATTCTTTTTTATGCTATGGTAAGATCAATATACTTCTACTTTATAGAACAATATAATACACAAGAACAAAAGTACAAGATATAAATCAATACCATGATAACAAGAAAAACCAAAGAAAGGGGAAAAGGAGTGAAAATGAGCAAAAACTTTTAACCTAAACACTGTTGAGAATTTCAAAGGAATATTTTAAGGCAAAAGTTTTCATACTTTTTACATTTTTGTTATGATTTTTATTGATTCTATTGTACAGAATAAATGCACAGGAAACATTAAAGTACAATATAATAAACAAGCAAAATTACAACTGAAATATTAGTACAAAGATAACGAAAGCAAAAAGGATCTTTAGGGATAATTTAAACAACCAAACTTTGGCTACTGCAAGGTCATATTGAGATTCATAAGTTTTATGACATTTTTTGCGCTAATTTACACATAAAAATGCTAAAATTATAACACTCTTCAAATAAAAAATATTTGCTCGTCCAAACAAAGTATTTGGGCAGGGGTGCTCAAACTTTTTTCTTATGAAGGGCCAAAAACCAAACTTGATTAAGGGTGGTGGGCTGAAGGTAAACTGTTTTACGTTAAAGCAGTGCATGGTCACCAAACTTGTTCCTGGAGGGCCAGTGTCCTGCAGGTTTTAGCTCCAACCCTAATCAAACACACCTGAACAAGCTCATCAAGCTCTTACTACAGAAGGTATACTAGAAACACCCAGGCAGGTGTGTTGAGACAAGTTGGAGCTAAACCCTGCAGGGACACCGGCCTCCAGAACCGAGATTGGTGACCCCTGCATTAAAGTAATACAATTAAACTTCCTAATTTAAAAATATTTAGAAATATATAAAACATATACTTTAATTGTATCAATAATTATACATATTTTTACATTTTATAACGTACTTCTTATAATAAAACCATAAACAATCTCATTTATAACACAATGGAGTTTATTATTTATTTTAATTTACAAAAAGAATAAATTTTACTTGAAAGTGGAATATATATGTGTCAAAATAGTGTTTTAAAAAAATGCCACACACTGTCAACAACCAAAAAAGTGTTTTAGGTTTTTCTACCCTTGACCCTTAAATCTGGTAAGTTAACATTTAATTAAAACATTTAATTTAATTTTTTGTAGCTCAGGAATTAAATAAATTAACAAAAGGTCTGATTGAGGGATTCACCCCAACCTTCGTCATCATTTATCCATCTCTTCTCTGATTGATCGGTGGGTCAAATCAAAGGTTAAATGGGTCAATTTTGGCCAGTGGGCCCTAGCTTGGGCATCTCTACTCTATGGGGAGAAATGCATCTGTAAGCAAGGGTCTATTGTGAAATTTTACAAGTTTAACCTATACAGTTGAAGTCAGAATTATTAGCTCTCCTTTGAATTATTTTTTTCTTTTTTAAATATTTCCACGATGTTTAACAGAGCAAGGAAATGTTCATAGTATGTCTGATAATATTTTTTCCTCTGGAGAAAGTCTTATTTGTTTTATTTTGGCTAGAGTAAAAGCAGTTTTTATTAAAAAAAAGAAAAAAAAGAAAAAACATTTTAAGGTCAAAATTATTAGCCCCTTTAAGCTATATATTTTTAATAGTCTACAGACTTGCCTAATTACCCTATTCTGCTTAGTTAACCTAGTTAAGCCTTTAAATGTCACTTCCATCATTTAAGCTGTATAGAAGTGTCTTGAAAAATATCTAGTCAAATATTATTTAGTGTCATAATGGCAAAGATAAAAATAAAACAGCTATTAGAAATGAGTTATTAAAACTATTATGTTTAGAAATGTGCTTAAAAAAATATCTCCTTTAAACAGAAGTTGGGAAAAAATAAAGGGGCCGGGGCTAATAATTTAGGGGGGCTAATAAGTCTGACTTCAAATGTATACTATAACTTTAAATTTTATGCTATTTTAATAGGATAAAAAAAAGACGTCAGCCATTTGCTTATATATTTGGGAGATAAAATAAATCCACTGAACAAATCTCTATCAACACCAGCATACTTGAATTTTCGGTCATAAACACACCTGCAGTTCCATCATGAATCGCTTGATGGCAGTGTAAGCAGGTTGACCGTGTGAGGGCAGAAATCCTGTTGCTCCTCCATTTGCATTGAGCATTTTGACTGCATCAAGTGCGTCTGACAACTTAAAGATTTACACGGCAATCAGCATGAAATAAATTACTCCAGGTCAGAAAACCGCAGCGCATATTGCCTATATTGCTTATAGTAGTAGTGCTTAGCAGAAAAACTGTAATACAAACGTTTAATCTTATTTAACAGTGATCTTCATATCCGAAAACGGGGGAATTATAAACCGCGTGAGCTCTGGCAGGCTATAGGTATGAGATTATTAAAGATTAATAACACCATATTAGGGGGGAAATTGGTGGAAAGTGTCGCGTGGAAGTTTGTTTTACAAAATAATTTATCATATTTTGAAGTTGTTCGTGTGTGGGCGTGACAAAATATAACTGCCTTTATTTATCGAAGGTGTCACACTTAGCAGCTTTGGTTAAAGCTATGTTTCTTTTATAAAATACACTCATATAGTTCCCTAGCAACAAGAGCTGATGGCAACCGCAGTGCAGTAAATATTTGAGTATATTTTCCCTCTCTTTGCCTAAAAGACACTCGCTTTCATGTTGCTATTCTGAATACAAATAAGAGAGGCAATTTCATACTGTTTAGCTGTAAACAATACACCGAGTCTGTTTTGTTTTTTTGGGACAACACATTTTATGGGTTCAACTTACACTGTATTTCAGTTTTTAGATAAGCATTAACTCCCAGCTATGCTTAATAGTGTACATTGACTCGGAGCTGACTTATAGGGTGGCATTATCTTATCTTATGATATCTTAAAGGTGACAGAAGTGGAATATTATTATTATTAATAATAATTTGATATATTGACATGATGGTCTAATAGGCATACAATACAATTACATTATATAACATTTACACAAGTGATTTTATTTAAACAGTAAACTAAATGGAAGGTGTGTAAATAACATTTAAAACAATGTCAAAATACAAATGCAGTTGTTATACTGTCATTCTATGTTACAGATATATTAGTTTTGAAATAAAATAACAGTTATTTTGATTAATATGTACTTAAGATATTGAATAAAACATAGAAAAAAAGTGATCATACAATTTTTTTACTTTGCTTATACATACATATATAGTCCAATTCCCTTAAATAATTCATCACTCTGTTATATTGCAGCTATTAGCTAAAATTTGCTAAAATAAAGTTCTTCCTTGAGACATTTTTTTCCTCATTAATGTACACACAGCAACCCATAATGACAGAAAAAGACAGAATTGTTGGAATTTTTGCAGATTTATTTTAAAAGCAAAACTGAAATGTCACATAGTCCTAAAGGCTGATTTATACTTCTGCATCAAACGCCGGCGTATGCTACGGCGCTGACGCATAGCCCTTCGCCGTGGCCGTCGCTGACGTGCACCTCTCAAAAAATGTAACTACACGTCGCAGCAACGTGTAGCGCAAGCTCTGTGATTGGTCGGCTTGGTAGCGCTGACGAGTCTGGGCGGGAACGAGAGCCGCGTGAAAGGTGCGAGCCTGATGGAGTGATTGTTTACAAGTGTGGAGTCCCGTGAAGGAGCTCCGGATGGAAATTTTGTTTTGTGTTTACCTCATAGTTAAAGTTGTTGCACGTCCGCAGATTCCTGCCTCAAAATAAGTGAGTTTGAGTCACTTGAGTCACTTGTAAAGTATTAATGCAGACCAACAGAGACAGCGTGCAGAAGTATAAATGCACAGCTACACGCGTTGCATGCGCCGTGGGTTACGCCGATCACTTGACGCAGAAGTATAAACCAGGCTTAAGTATTCAGTCCCTTTGCTGAGATACTCATATAATTAACTAGCATTTCTTCTGATCATCCTTCAGATAGTTCCACACTTTAATTTGAGTCCAAACTGTATTTGGTTATAATGACTTGATTAGGAAAGTAACACACCTGTCCATATAAGACCTCACAACTCACAATGCATGTCATAGCAAATGAGAATCATGAGGTCAAGGAACTGCAGAGAAAGAATTGTGGCAAGGCAGATCTGGTAAAGGTTACAAAAAAATTCTGCTGCACATAAAGTGTCACGAAACACCAAAACTCATTTTTTGAGCTGTTGACAGTCATATATGTGTCCCATGATGCTAAAAACAGTATGTAATATATTGACATATATTTCACTAAAAAGTGAAAATTGGTTGTTTTTGCGTTATTTTGAGTAAATTCGTACTTCCGGTTTGAAACTAATTTTTGAAGCTGCGTCACGGCCATGAGATCTTAGTGTGTATTCCAGTGTGTAGACTGGACGTCTGTACCTGGGAGTGCCTTATTACGTCTCTGAGTGTGCTGCATTAATGCATGAGTGAGACTTGGTTCAAACCAATCAGTGCGCTCTTTTGTGCATATTCATTAATATGCATGAAAACTGTTTTTACCTGTTACAGTGTTCAGACGGCAGAGAGACGCCTTGTTGTGTTGCCAAAACAAGCGTGCAGTGTTGCTTTTATAATTTGCTGCAGTAAAGATTTTGTTTCCATTTTCCCTCTATGAGAGCGCAGCTGGACTCACGTGTGGATTACAGTGCATGCGACGCTCGACAACAATACGTGTCTAAGGAACATTTTTTTACCCGTGAGCTTTTCTTATCTGGAAATGGTGAAATCCGGATTTGCTGCTCGTCTCCTCTTAATAAAGGCGCGCCTCTAGTTGATGTTGATTGTCCTGTTTCTACAGATTTGTTTAGTGAGCGACCAGGGGTCTTTGTTTATTCAGACGGCAAATTTAGTTTGTGTTGAACTAAGTATTACACCGAGTATAAACATGTTAGCACCACAATCAAACTTACTGTTGTGTAGGATTTTCAACGCATTTTGTGACAGGAATAACACACACGGCTTTCTGACGCAACCTGACAAGTGCATCTAAGTTTCCGGGAAATGCTGAGGGTTTTTTTCTCTCATTCGCTGTGCGGTAACAAACATTGCATGAAAAATACACGCTTAGAGCAGTTCCTTGAATCAAATATCTTGTTTGTCAGGAGAGGCATGAATGAATTCCCTGAATGAAAGAGCCAAACTGCAGTTAAAATCCACCATTTGATAATTTGTCAAATAATTCGATTACTGATGTCCATGTAAACACAGTCACTGTCTTTCTCCCCTGTGTGTGTGTGTTTTGACTCTGTGAAAATCAGTGCGTGCCCAAACAGACACTCCTATTTTTATGCACATTTTTTACAGACCCTCCCTCTTTTGCTCCTGACACTCCCCCCAAACAGCTGGACACGCCCACTTTCCTGACTTTTTCCAAAGTAGAGGTGTGAAAACACCCTGCTGAAACAAGGGGGTTTCATGGTCTTTTAAGGTTCCTAAAGCAGGTCACACACCGGATGCATCGCTCGGTGCCAAAACATGGTGCGCACATGACAGTTAAAAGTGTCGCACACGCACACATTCGCATGATATTTAACATGAAACTATTCAGATGGCGCTCTGTGGCGCAGCAGAAATATGATCAGTGTTCAGAGTCGTGGCTGGGTGGTGTGTGTACCCTGATAGAAACCTATGTTTAGAATTCTGAAATGCATGACGCTGCCTGGCGCGATGCTCATTCTGGTGTGCGAGCACAGTGGTCGCTCTAATCCTCAAATGGAAGATGTTCGGGTCAACCAGAACTCTTCTTAGAGCTGGGCCGGCTATCTGGCCAAACTGAGCTATCAGTGAGAGAAAAACCCAAGGATCACTGTGGTTGAGCTTCCGAGATGCATTCGAGAGATGGGAGAAAGATGTAGAAAGTCAACCATCACTGCAACCCTCTATCAGTCGGGGGTTTATGGCTCGGCAAATGAAAGCCTAAATGTTTGCTAAAAACATCTGAAGGACTCCAAGATGGTGAGAGATAAAAATCTCTGGTCTGATGACTTCTTGGCCTTAATTTTAAGTGGTATGTGTGGAAAAAAAAAACAGGCACCCCTCATCATCTGTCCAATACAGTCCCAACAGTGAAGCATGGTGGCAGCATCATGCTGTGAATGTGTTTTTCAGCTGCAGGGACAGGACGACTGGTTGCAATCGGGGGAAATATGAATGCAGCCAAGTACAGGGATAACCTCCAGAGTGGTCAGGACCTCAGAGTGGGCCAAAGGTTAATCTTGGACAAGGACCCTAAACACACAGCTAAAATGATAAAGGGGGACTTCGCAACAACTCTGTGACTGTTCTTGAATGGTCCAGCCAGAGTTCTGATTTAAACCCAATTGAGCATCTTTAGAGAGACCTAAAATGGCTGTTCACCAACGTGTACATCCAACCTGACAGAACTGGAGAGGATTTGCATGGAGGAATGACAGAGGATCCCCAAATCAAGGTGTGAAAACTTGTGGCATCTTTGCCAAAAAGACTTATGGCTGTAACAGATAAAAATGTGCTTGAACTAAATACTAAGCAAAGGGTCTGAATGTGATAGTTCAGTATTTCTTTTTTAATGAATGTGCAAAAATGTCAACAATTCTGTGTTCTTTTCTGTTAAAATGTGCTGTGTGTACATTAATGAGAAGTATTTAAATGATTTCAGCAAATGGCTGCAATATAACAATATAAGAGTAAAACATTGTAATACTTTTCTGAATAATTTCTGTACCCACTATGTTTTTTCCCCACAGTGCTAAGATGGGATTGAAAGGGCATGCGCTGCATAAAAACATATGCCAGAGTATTTGGCGGTTCTTTCCACTTACTGTGGCGATCCCTGGTCTAATCTGAAGGAAAGTAAGTGAGTGTTTCTAATAACAAAGTTATACATTTAATAAACCTTGTGAGCAGCCATGTATGAGGTGTTTTAGAGGTTATATGCAATTTTACAAAAGAACTATGGATTCAGACTATTTAGATGATCGAGTCAACTTTTTGTCTTAGTGTCTGCTAGTTTATTACCTTTGGGAATACTTGAAAAATTATTAAAACTCTTTGGTCATTTTTGAGTAATTCAATGATTATGCTAAGCTAATAGTGCTTCTGCAAGACCCTGAGATCAGCTGAATAGATTTTAAAGAATTGGTTTAAAGCACTCAACCGTTTAACTCTAGGGAGTTGTAAAATGAGCCTCTTTTTAAAGAAGTGGAGCGTTTTAAAGATTGAAGAAGAAATTTTTTAAGACTGATATATATATTTTTTTTTCTTATGCCGCAGGTGACCTGTAACTGTGAACTAATTTTAAGTTATTTTTGTGAAATGCTACTTTTCTGGAATTGCAGAACAACCACCTCATATACTGTAAGTGTTAAAATGTATTTGTGTTATATGGGATTTTTTTTTTTTTGCAAAATTAGCATGTTTCCATTGGATGTATTCTAAATTTTCTGTTTCATGTTACACAGTTTAAAGGGTAATCGAAAAGTATTTGATCTCTTGTGATTTCTCTCTCCTCTGTGCTATTATATATCCTTAACACACTTCACATTCCCACATATTAAACTATTTTATTAAAAATGTAATAAACATGTATTAAATGCTTCTAATGCACACAATGTCTCAAAATCCTGTCTGTAAGCAGCTCACTTGTTTTTGAGCACATATGCGAAAAGTAATGACACATGTGCACATCTCTTTCACATACCAACAAATTAAATATTAAACATACATTCATCAGAAGAGCAGGTCTTTCTTGGCAAGAGAGTAATCAAAATTGCACCAAGCAGTAGATGTTAGTCTGCCGAGGTTATTGACTGCCTCACGAGGTGTGTAGAAATGATGAAATGGTTCAATGTATGTAGCATTTCAACCATTTCAAGAGCAAAGTAATGACGCAGAGAACATATAAGGCACGCTCTGTGCAAGATCTGAACACCACGGTGAATAGAAACAGAAGAGTTGAATGAGCACTGGGCCGGACTTCCCACAATTACTCCCCATGGGGGCTGCTTGTACGGCAAAACAGCCTGTTAGTTTCTGAAGCACACTAGATTTTATTCCCCAGCCTGACTGCTGGTCTTCCATGGCTGCGAGATCCAACAGTTTACTCAATTTTCAACTTTTACACCAAAGCGTCGCTTCCCTCACTCAGGGAAATGCATGCTTCCTTCATTCAGCAGCGTAAAGAGGACAAAACGGCGACAAATTACAGAGAGGGACATTAACGCTGACGAACACAACATGACAAGAAAATGGTAGTAACTTGCGCCTCCCAGCTCTCTTTCTCGCCCAAAGAGATTTAAATAATAAAAACCGTCGGCCTGTGAACAAACAGGATAATTATGGCCTGCAGTCTTCCTGTCGCTGGTCAGGCACGGCAGAGCAGAAAGAAACACGTTATTACCACTCAAAGCTTTCTGCCAAGGAATTAGGCAACATCAATGTTTCATGTAGTCGCCCGGTTTGGAAAGAGACTGAAAAATCGACACATTTTGACCAGGCTTTTCTGTGTGCTGTTTTTCTCCCACTGTGAAAGGAAACGTGGGGTCTGAAAATCCCAAATAGACTGGAGAAATTTTTGCACTTGTAAAGAGAGATTACGAGTTGGAGTAAATTGCATGTGAAACTGGCTTGGATTTGTACATGCAAAGCGCTTGAAGTTCACGGCGGGTAAATTGCAATAAAAGAAAAAAGGCAAATATTGATGTCATGAAATTAAAGCAGTCATTCCATACTGTGGTGTGTCTAAGTAGAGAAAAACTAAAATTATAATAATAAAAAAATGCTTTAAATAAAAAAATTAATCGAAACCTACAAATGCCATTTTTTAGAAGTATTTTACTTCAATAAAGCCTTTTTCTTCCTTTATTCTACCCGACAGATGTAATTAAAGTGGCTTTGAGCATCATAATCTATTTCACAACACAAACTTTTTTCCCTCTTAGGCTTTTAATAAGTTATACATTTAGAAAATCCAAATCTTAAAATAACATTTACTCACTTTTTTATTTATACACCTACAACGTCTCCAAAAATCCAAGCAAATAATTCTGTTCTGTTATTTCTGTCTGTTCTTCCCGCCATCGGTGAACAGCGCTTCTATTTCTAAAGCTGATCGCAGGCCTTTCTGTTGAGCAGGGGAAGACAATAACCAATCATAGAGACCTCGCCTGTCAACGCTCAAAAAGCAAGCAGGATAATATTTACATTAGTTTATTTGCTATAAATGCTCATGCTGTTTTTTGTGCATGTATTAGAGTTTTGTTTAATGCATTCAGAAAGAGTGTTTTCTTTCAGCAGGTCAAATTAAGGGTACAGTTCATATATCTTACTACTGTATTAAAGAACAAAGTTGTATTATAAAATAATATATAAATATAAATATATTTTTAGATTTTAATGAAAAAAAAATTCTTGTGCTGTGAAAAAAAAATCTAATTAGGTATGGAAAACATCGTCAATGATAATCGTAACCGAACCAAATGTGAGACCAGTGTAGATTCACACCCACTCGATACAATTATAGACCTTTTTCTTGGCTGCTGCATGGAGGGCGCCATACTGACCAGAGTCTTTCGGTAGAATGTTTAGAACTTCCGTTTACATCGACATTGAGTGGAATCTGTTAGATCTGTGGCTCTAGAGAAAAACAGTATCGTAAGCCATGCTTCTTTTCATTCTGCTTAATCACGTGCCCCCAAAAATGATATTTAAAGTAAACAAAACAATATGATGTCTTTTGACTGCTTTCTTTAATAACTACATTATAAAATACTTGCACTTTTACTGACGCATTTCTAAAAACAGTTCATGGAGAGAGAAAAGTCAGATTGCCTACACTGTTTGTTATCTTTATTTGCAAAAGCAGACATGTTTGTTGTCATTGTGAGTGTACACAATAAAAACTAGACACCTAACAGATTCAATTGATGTATTGATCTTTTCTGTACAATCAAAACTGAAAGTGTAATTTACGTTCATTTCAGGGTTATGAGGTGAAAACTTGTCAGAACACGTATACGCGGTCTCCGACCCCTAGGGGTTAAAGAGCACTTCAACTTCTACTCAAGTCACTTTTTTGATAGAGCACTTGTACTTAAGTCTGCGTCTCTAGTACTTTATACATGTCTGATGACCACTCCCCGCCACATGACATACGGATCCAATGCGATCAATTTTCACCAAGTAATGCAACCCACCTTTAGTCCAGTTTTAGTTGGAAATTCATGAAGAAAACGTAAAGCACTGTAGCCTTTCAGTTCTCGTAAACCTTTGATCGAAAACACCATTTTTTTTAAATAAGCAGCAAAACCCCGCGTCATCACTATGCCATCATTACTTCATCACCAAGGAAAATAAATAAAAAAGAATATTCTAATGCACAAATTGTGCTGTTATTCATGTACGAAATTTGATGATTCTTATGTCTGTAGTACGATAAGCAGTCTTATTATATTGTTATTATTCTATATTGTATATATTATTGTTTGTTTTTTTGAGACACTATATATTACTGTTCTTTATGTCATTCAAAACCTGAACATTTAAGAACAAAAATTAATATATTTAAACCTGTCTTACTTTTGGACCTCCTAACTTTTGACTGCCATTAAATGTAAGATTGGTCCCAGTTGAATTCAATTTTATTATTCAATCTGCCAGGTGAAGTCAAATCTATAAAATGTGTAAAAAATTTAACAAGGTAAAATTACTTTAAAATGATGTATGTCAAGACATACTTCTCTAAACAATAAACCAAAGAAAGATGTTTGAGAAATCATTGCAGAATGCATTTCCATATATTGCAAATCATGCGTCCAAAAAGTGTGCAATATATAGATCCAGGAAGTTATTCTGTAATTGTAAAATGATGTTACATTTCAGCTGTCACGCAGTAAAAGGTGAAGCTTTTATACATGATTTAGAAAATACTGACAGTTTTCAGACAGGTTTTCTCAACACTCCCTGTCTGCTGTTGGTCAGCCAAACAGATAGATCCACCCCAAACTCATGCCAATGGCGGAGGCTTTGTTCCCATGTTGGGATGTTAAAACAAAGCAATGTTCTGTCAGCTTGTTTCCAGTTTTCAGTAGATTCAGACTGAGAATGGCTTACGATTATCTCTGCATATTAAATCTGAGATGGGGGAAAAAGTCTTAACATTTTAATGATTAAATTACACCTCAACCTTAATTATGGCTTGTTACTAAACCGTTTCTAACATCAGATTCACTTGCCTGAACTGAATTTGTTAATTAGCTCTATAACAGCTTGAGATACTAATGTTGATAATGATCTTGATAATATTTTTCTTGGTATTATTATTATTGTTTTTTTATTATTTCCATGAGAATAAGATAATTAACGGAGGAAAAAGAAATAGCAGAACAATGAACATGGCAAGCTAATGAACCACGGCAAAAAAATAAACCATTTGTACCTCTGAACATTAACCACTGCATTGATCTTACCTGCATAATGCATTAACAACGACCTCTGATTATTTATGAGTGCAGAGTGCAGGTATGGTAAATGACACTATGAGTTAGAGGAATTGATTTATGAAACTATACAAACAGCACACATAAGCTCACATTACAGTAATGGCAATGAATGACAATGTACAGTATAACCAATGAACAAGAATATTAAGCAAAAAAGTGTAATGAAACATTGTGTTTGAGACTTTGGTGTCTGGTATATGTATTAAAGATTAAAGTAATTAAAAACACCTACAGACAAAGACAAAATTGTTGGTACCTTTAAAATAAACATTATTCTTTTATTTTTTTAACAACATTTTTCTCCATTATGATACCTAGTAGGGCTAAACAATATATCATTTCAGCATCGATAGCAATGTGCACATTTGCAAGAGTCACAGGATCTGCAATATTGAGTTGGGATTGTAAAGTTTAGGATTGTATAGTTGTATAGTTACATATATGTATTTTGAGTTGTGGCTCAATTCCTATATATATATAGTTATATACAGCTAGAATAAAAGCAGTTTTTAATTTTTTATGAAACCTTTTAAGGTCAAAATTATTAGCCCCTTTAAGCTAGATTTTTTCCTCGATAGTCTACAGAACAAACCCTCGTTATACAATAACATTCCTAATTACCCTAACCCGCCTAGTTAACCTAATTAACCTAGTTAAGCCTTTAACTGTCACTTTAAGCTGATAAAATAGAAGTACTTTCAAAATTATCTAGTCAAATACTATTTACTGTCATCATGGAAAAGAAAAAATAAAGCAGTTATAAGAAATGAGTTATTAAAACTATGATGTTTAGAAATGTGTTGAAAAAATCTTTTCTCCGTTAAACAGAAATTGGGAAAAAAAATAAACAAGCGGTTTAATAATTCAGAGGGGCTAATAATTCTGACTTGAACTGTATATGGAGTTACTGCAGAGTTTAACCTTAATGAGGTAAAAGTTATTGTTTGCACATATTTATAAGCACAAAAAGCATTCAGACACAACATTTTATAGAAAATATTTTTATTCAACTGTTTAAACAGTAAAGTTTATCTTTGTCTTTGTTATTTTAGGTTTGGCTTTTTTCACTTTCTGCACCTGAATGTGATTTGACTATACCCTAAAAACCATAAATCACGGTTTATTACACTCTTATTGACCTTATTCTTTAATGCGGAAGTGCGCTTGTTTTTGTGATTGTTTTAAAACTTCCAACATAGTTGCCTATGGGAGAAATGACTTGGAATAATAAACGAAAATAAGAAGAAGAAAAAAAAAATCAGTCAAACTACTTTCTCTACAAACAAGTGTTTGCATGAATATACAGACAAAGCAGAATCATTTGATAAGAAAATATTAGTTTGCAACATCAAGCAGCAGCATCAA